GAAGTTCCTGCAGGCCGTCCTGTGTGAGCTGGTGCTGAAAGACTCCTTCTGTCAGTAATACTCACTGAGCACCTGTGTCGCACCAAGCAAGCATTTATTCTGGGCACTGTGTTTTCAGCAGAGAGCAAGATACCAGACCCCACCCTGTGGAGCTGTCGTTTAATGGGCCGAGTAGGATGAGTGAGGATTCACCAGGTAGACCTGGCTCATGGTGGCAAGTGCAAGAGTGCATTTCAGGCAGAGAAGGTGTGGCATATTTAAGGATCTCAGTCTCGTTGGAAGGTGAGGGTTGAGGCAGGGCTTGGAGGCGCAGGTGAAGGAGGTGCTGGGAGTGGACTCTGGAGGGAGGTTGCGAAAGTGCTGTCTTGTCCCTGTGGAAGGTGAATTCATCGCAGAGCTGGGAGGGAGCCGCTGCTGGGGCGGAGGCGGGGCCGCTGTGAAAGGTGTTGGGACCCGGCAGGGTGAGGGCTGGAGGGAGTGGAGCACTAGGAGGAGCAGGGAGAAGACTCTGAAACTTCCGCCACAGCCTCGGGAAGAAGGGACGAAGTTCTGGACTAAGGCAGTGGAGCAGGTTTCAGGGAAGTGGATTCAAGTAAAATTTGTTCCACGAATAAGTGGTTTGGGGTCGTCTGAGTACGTGTAAAAATAAGTTTTGATCTCCCACTACACACAGTTAATGATAGTGGAGATTCGACCCAACTGTGAAAGGTAAACAAGAAAACTAGAAAATAATGTGGGAGAATGTCTTCTTGAGGTTAGCAAATATTTTTAAAATAGGACCAAAGGAGGTAACTGTAAGGGAAGGGAGCGATAAACTGGACTCCATGGAGAGCAGAACTTCTCTTCGTCAGTGGGACCATTGAGCACGTGGAAGGCATGCACAGAGTGGGAGAGTGTCTGCAGGATGTGTGATTAGGGTGGACTCTTGCCCAGAGTACACAGAGAACTCCCTTGAATCACATATAAAACATTGACAGATGAGTAGGAAAATAGGGAAAGAAGGTATCCAAGTGGTCAGTAAGCACGTGAATCAGTTGATCATAGTGAAATGCAAACAAAAGCCACAGTGAAGCCCCTTCCTCCGCCCCAGGACGGCTGGGAAAGGCCCAACGGCTTCGTGAGAGAGGGCAGAGACACTGGACGGCGCTGGCTGATGAGGAACACGATCGGTGCCGCTACTGTGAAAAATTGTTCTGGTGAAGCTCTAAACACGCCTGCCTTGGTGTGGGCATATCGTGTGTGTACCCAGAGGCACATGCAGAGTGCTCGTGGCAGCATTACTGTAACTGCTGGCAACTGGAAGTCACCCCAGTGTTCATGTCTTCCAGGGATACAGCCGCTGGGTTCTGTTCGGGCCAGGGAAGGCAGCCAGCAGTGCAGATGGACAGACTTGCAGTGAGCGAGTGCCACCAACGTAAAGTGGAGCTCAGGGAGTCAGACACAAGCATACGTATTTAGTTCCTTGTATGCGAAGTTCAAGATGAAGCGAAACTGTCTGTCGTGAGGGTCTGGCCGGTGAGGTGTGTGAAGGGGGTGCTGACTGGCAGGGAGCCCGACCGGGGGCTGCTGCAGCCGGGATTCTCTGGGGCAGGGGGTGGGGGGCATGTCAGGGTTTCCATAGGACGCTGTTTTTCAGTATTTGGGAGATATATGGATATGTGTATATACATAAAAGTAATACAGGTTTAATAGAATAATGAGAAGCTTTCAATTTTAGGCTTTGAGAGTGGTAAGACAAGCCCTTTCAGTGTTGGGAAGGCAGGGGCTTTCCACGAACTAAAGAGCACAGAGAAAGAAACTAGTTTAACAAGTTTGTTTCCACAAAAGAGGTTATCCAAGTGGCCCCCAAGTCTGGAAGAGGGCTCAGCATCCTTCTCATTAGGGAACGTGAGTTGTCAAGAGTCGCTCAGCCCGCCCCATTTCAAATGAGGCAGAAGAGCCCGAGTCTCCTGGGTGGGTAGCACGGCAGTTGTTTCGTCTGTAGTGGCCAAACCCTGGAAACAGCCCAAATGCCCGCCAGCAGGGGATGGACGAAGAAACTGTGGCATATCGGAGGGCCTGATGCCCCACAGTAAAGCGCAGCAAGCCACTGATGTGCTCGGCCAGGCTGAGCTGTGCAGACGTCACACTGAGTGACAGACGCCATGAGCAGGGGCGCTCAGGCCGAGGGACTCGGCCTTGTGCAAAGGTCAGCAGTTGGCAGAAGGTGTTGCTGCTGACAGAGTCAGAGGAGCAGGCCGCTGTTGACTGGGAAGGGGCTCGAGGGACCCTTCTAGGGTAATGGAAATGGTCTCGTTCTTGATTTGAGTGGTAGTGACAGATGTGTCTCCATTCAGCTCTAAACTTAGGGTTCGTGCCCTTCACATACCTCACCTTATTTTGTAACTTAGTTTTTAAAGTGATGGAAAAGTATTACTGCAATCATTTTAAGTATGTAGGTTTCCCTAAAATTTTCAAAAGTCCCATGTGACCAGGACTGCCATGGAGCCCATGTCTGCCAGGCCTTTGAATGAGGGGAGAAGAAACAGGACTGCTGGCCCTTCAGGGTGTTTAGCTGAGGTCCAGCTGGGAGCCCAGAGGGGCACACACAGTGGGTGGCAGCGTAAGAGGCAAACGACAATGAGAAGCAACAGATCAAGGGTGTCGTAAGGTGCCGCGTGACACACCAGTTCGTGTGCCTTTGTTTTTCAGTGAACACTGAAATGTAAGCTGGTGTGTGATAGGAAAGGAGAAGCTGCGAAAGTCTCTGGCAATAGGGGCAATTAGGGCACTGCAGTTACTGAGCAGAGCTAGTGACAGGAGTCAGCATGTGCCCAGGATGTGGGGACCACAGGGTGTGCGAGACTTCCACCGGGCAGGACTGTTGGGGGTGTCAGGTCTCAGTTAGTAAAGCCAGCCGGAGTCTGGACAGCCAGACTGAGCACCTCAGTCAGTGCGTTTGTGTCAGCGTGGCATCTGCTGGCCTTGGCCTCCTCCAGGCTGCAAGTTGAAGCTTCAGCTGTGGACACTGGGTTTGTTTTTACCTCTAGAAACACTGACTGCTGCTGGCTGGTGGTACTGTTTTTCACGTGCCATTCTTCAAATTTACTGAGTGGCACTTGCTTTTTGCAGAAAACAAAGTGACCCACTGTTCCCATGATGGCGTGTGACTCTCAGTTCTTGCACAGATGTGTGCGCCATGGGTGCGTCGCTCTTACTGCTGCTTTCACTCCTGCAGGCTTTGGAGATCGGCCCAGGCTCAGGGGTGGGGGCGCCCTGGTCCCGAAACTGGCCAGCCTGCCCCTGGCTGCGGGTATCTGCCGGGGCCGGTGCTCCCCTCTCCAAGTGCCCCGCTGTGACTCCTGGGGTGGCCAGCCTGCCCCTGGCTGTGGGTATCTGCCGGGGCCGGTGCTCCCCTCTCCAAGTGCCCCGCTGTGACTCCTGGGGTTCCTTGGCATCCTCTGAACCACAAGACGCAACCTAAAGTGCTGTGCAGAGCCCAGCTCGGTCCCAGTCTTTTATCCTCCCTGGCGAATACCCAGTCTGTACCTGAGGTCCAGCAGCCTCTGTAACAGACCGGTACCCATGTGGTGGTGTCTTGTGAGGCAAAAGTACCCAGGTCGCCTGGCACCTTGAAACCAGGAGGCCCTGTGAGGTGCGGCCAGCCCAGTCAGACCCCCACCCTGGTTTGACTGGGGAGGGAGGTGTGCGCTCTGTCCAGGGTCCCAGAGCTGTGTCTGGTGACCTGCTGATCTGTGCATCCCTTCGGATGTGGTTCATTGTCTGGGCAAGAAAGTTGTACCGTTTTATGAAGGTAGCTTCTGATCGTGTAATTGTTTCCCATGCTGACTTTTCTTTTCGAAGGCTCTAGGTGGTTGATCTCATTTTTCAGAGACTAGACAGTTTAGCTTTTCCAGGAACACTTGGTGGGGCTCTCTGGTTCTCTCTGATTGGCTCCAAGTCCTCTTATTTGTGCTCGGTGTGCCGAGGGGGTCCCTCTGACACACGTCAGTTTTGTCAGCGTTGTGCAGCCTGTCCCTCGTCAGCTAACAGAGAATCCCCTTGCAGGTCCCCAGTTTGAGTGGCACCAATGGCCGTCTCACCTGAGCTGGGTGCCAGCTGTGAGACACCCTGTGACGTTACTGCCACCAGGAAAGCAGTCGGCACTGCCACCTGTGAGTGTTGCGATGCCATTGGTGGAGACACATTCTGATCTCAGAGATGCAAAACTGTGAAAAAGTGCCTGTTCTATAGCAAGTGATCATGTACGGTAGATGCTCTTGGTGGCATCACATTTGTTTTATTATGTGTTACTGGAACAGCTCAGATAGAGAGTAGAGAGGATGATACAATGGACTTCTGGGCACCCGTCACCAGCTACAGCTGTCCCCGTCTCCTGTGCCGTCTGTGTCGCTGGCTACTTTCCCCTCGGTTAGTTTTAGGCAAACCCTAGTTAATGTGTCTTGTTTGCATGTAAATGTTTCAGCGTGTGTCTCTAAGCAGCAGGAGCTCATCTTTAGAGGCGTAATCACACCTGAAGACATTAACAGTCATTTCTAAGTATCATCTAATACCGATTTTGTATTTAGATTTCTAGTATTGAACATGGTCTTTCTGAAATGTGACCCAGCAGTCATCTGAGGCCTTAGCTTCCTTTCTTTGTAATACGTTCCCTTCAAACTGAGATGTGACCGGGTCGCAAACTTAGTAAGGGATGATAGAAGCCTTTTTATAGGCTTCTTTTCTTCATAAGCTTAAAAATAATTCATTATTGAAAGATATATAGTCCTGCCAAGTCACTCACATCATCCAAGTCATGTATTTGGGCATAGGTCACTCCTTCTCTTTGGATGTGAACCGGTGTGATTATTGTCATTGTCCCCTTTTTCTTTTCTATGGTTTGGCAGGTGACAGCACCGTTGGGCTAGGCATCTGCTTGAAGGGGCAGGCTGGCATGTGGAGGTGTGCGTGCCGGTGCTTCCCTGAGCGCCCTCCTCATGCGCCCGCTTTTGTGCCCCCAGGTCTCTGTCCCACCCGGCGCCCTGGACTGCTGGGTGTTCCTGAGCTGCCTGGAGGTGCTGCAGAGGATCGAAGGCTGCTGCGACCGGGCGCAGATAGACTCGAACATCGCCCACACTGTGGGCTTATGGAGCTACGCCACAGAGAAGGTGACTGCCCCTGCGTGCACCCCTGGGCATTGGAGTGGGCGGTACCTCTCAGCACTGGGTGTGGGAAGCTGTTGGACAAGTGGTGTTTGCTTAGTGACCACGTGAGCAGCTCTTGTCGCTTTCGGCCACGTCTGATAACAGCCCAGGACTCAGTGACTCCTCCTCGTAGCACTTCGTTCAGCTCAGATGAGGCACTTGTTATGCTTGCGCTGACAGTATGGCCTCCGCCAGCTGTTGCGGGGGCAGGCTGGTCTGCAAAGAATGATGGGGTGTGGAGCTGGTGGAAATGCAGCGTGGTCTCCTGTGGGTAGCCAGTGGGGCCGCAGATTGAGCCGCAGAGCTTGAAAGCTGGGGAGTGCGTAGGCAGGTGAATGGCATAAGCTCAGAATTGCCAACCTTGGAGCCCCTCTGAGAGCTCCTGTGTGGAAGGTAGGAGTTTGAACTGGTCCCAGTAAGATGTATTTTTATATCCAGATAAGACTCATTTAGATGGGAAAGCTAAGTTGCTTCTAAAATTTAGTTGGGTTTTAATTTTTATATTTAAATTTATAAATTCTCAGCTGACTCTTAGGGCAGACTAATTGCAATTGTGGATTTATCCCAACAGCTCAAGTCCCTGGGCTACCTGTGTGGACTGGTGTCAGAAAAAGGACCCGACTCAGAAGACCTCAACAGGACAGTCGACCTTTTGGCAGGTTTGGGAGCTGAGCGTCCGGAAACAGGTACTTGCTGAGGTGCCCCCCCGTGCAGGTGGTACAGTGGGAAGTGTGATGTGTCGGTTGTAACTTGGCACATGCGGCGCAAGTTCTAACAATGTAATAACTCGCTGTTTGGGGGATTGCGGTCGCTGTTAGCCAGCTAGATTCACATGTGGGGTATTTTACCTTTTAGTGACCGATATGTTAGAACTTGTTTAAGGAATTGTTGGAAGTTTCCTTAAAACCGTGCCTGAGTTCCTCATAGGCTCCCACGAGCTGATCGTGACTCTTTACAGCCCACGTGGCCTTGGAAGGCACTGGTCTCCCTGTGAATGAGCAGGTGGCCTCGTGTTCTAACAATGTGGCCAGGCAGGTCCTTTCCTCAGTGAGCGACTCCTAGCAACTAAGCACTTTGATGGGGACCTCGCTGGTTCCTCAGGGTGCGAGAAGAGAGACGCGCATGAGTCAGCAGAGCTGTTGCTAACGAAAGTCAGGTGACCTGAGGAGCCGAGAGGACGCCCACTAACTGAAGTGCGTCTGAGAGGGAGGGGAGACCACCTCGGATCCCTTTGGTGGGAGTTTGGTCCATTGGAGGATCTGTAGTGCGTTCTTTTAACAATTCTAATCTCAGTCAGAGATGAAGTATTGCGTGAAGGGTCTAGACTACTTCATGCGTTTGGTAACTGGACAAGAATACAGGTTGTTGCGCAGTTCAGCCCGTGTGGCTGACTGTGGTCTCTGCACGAGTTCGGTGCAGCCATCTGCCTGCGGGGGTGAGGGGCGGGGTGAACTCCTGTGTCTGGAGATGGCGAAGGTGAATAAGGACTCCTGCTTCTTTTTGTTTAAGCCAACACAGCTCAGAGTCCTTATAAGAAACTCAAAGAAGCATTGTCATCAGTAGAAGCTTTTGAAAAACACTACTTAGTAAGTATTTTGTATGCCATTTCTTGTCTGCCCATAGCAGAAAACCCAACTCCACAAGACTTTTTCTGTTGTGTGACCTTTTGAATTGGGAATGAGCTGAGATTTGGGACCATCTTTCTTTCTTTTTTTAAATAATTTTTATTTATTTATTTATTTTAGAGAGAGGGGAAAGGAGGGAGAAAGAGGGAGAGAAACATGTGCGAGAGAAACATGGATTGGTTTCCTCTCTCACGCCCTAAACTCGGCCCACAACCCAGGCATGTGCCCTGACCGCGAATCCAACCAGCGGCCTTTCAGTTCACAGACCTGCACTCAGTCCACTGAGCCACACCAGCCAGGGACGGGACCTCCCTCTTGTTGCCTTTTATGTTTCTTTGGTACCCTAGGGAGTTGTGGGTAATACCTGGAATAGTTGTTCATTAAATGTATATTAGTACTCATGGGGCCATACTTAGGCATAAACTCATCTTCACATGTTTATAGTTTTGTTCAAAATAGCATTGCTCCTTCAATAGAATAGAAATTGTAACAGGACAATGAATAGTTTTCCATGGACAAAAGAATCATTTGGACTTGGACAGAGTGATTGTGCTTGATTTTAGCTACAGTGGCTAAAGGATCTAGCTTTGGGACTTTAGAAAGCAGTATAGGGAGAAACTGGGCGAGTCAGCTGCGCACCTGAGTCATGGCTGCTAACTCAAGAGCGTTAGGCGATAGCCTCTAACAGTTTGTCCCTGTTACCCAAAAATTGAGAAAAGTGCTAGAAATGCTACCTACTTGCAGATAGTACTTCGACAGGTTAAAAGTTTATGCTTGTTGAGTTCATATTTTTAAATTATCCTTCATAATTTTGTGTAGAGGTTAGTGTTTGTGTAGATTACTGTACGTAAAAACTCAACACAAAAGTAGGTACAAAGTAAAAAAGATAATGTTAATGTTACATTAATAAGTCTTTGCTTCAGCATTGGTGCATCATTGTCAGTTTGTGTAGCATTAAAATTAAAGTACAATATGTGTTTCGTTTTGTCTTTTGACCTTTCCACAGGATCTGTCCCACGCCACCATTGAAATGTATACAAGTATTGGGAGGATTCGGTCTGCCAAGCTTGTTGGAAAGGATCTGGCAGAGTTTTACATGTAATTGATTTTGGACTTTTCTTTGAATTTCAAACATTTCACGTGTTAAAGGAAGATTTATTATGCATGGAGTTAGTATGAAGTATACATAAATTTATAGAATGAAAAATATAGGATCTGTGAACCAGTTGTCATCATTTTTTAAAATTTCTTTTGAAAACCAAAATGGAGGGATTTTTCAGCTTGTTACTCTTAATAGCTGTTACTGATCTTTGCACTTTATTTAATTAGATTAACAAAATGAACTTATATGTAATATGTAGTATTATAATTACATTTATTTAAAGAAGTATGAGGAACTATTTAAGAATCTACATCTAATGGCGGCTAAGCAGGGATGTAGATTCCTGAGTACTTTTTGTTCCATAGCATTTCCTCTAGTTTGTATCGGACGCCCCCAGGACTCTGAAAGCCTGGAGGTCAGCGACGCACAGTAACTGTGTGTGTTGTGTCGTGAGAGGAGGGGGCCGTGACTGAGTGGCGGCGTGCACGGATGCGGGAGCGTTCCCAGTCGTGCTCCAGCTCTGCAGCCGGGTTTTGCAGCAAAGACTCGAGATGGCGAGTTTCTTGTGCGTTTGATGAGATGCACCTGCCAAAGTGGAGAAACTCCAGTTGGCAGTGTCCTGCTATTTGAAAGCACTGGCGAGAAATACATGTAATAAAAGATATTTAAGATTTTCCAAAAGAAATGTGTGTTTGACATGGTATCTTAAAACCTATAGTAGTTTTAGTAGCTGAAACTAGGAGGAATGATTTATTTTAACTGAGTGGAGTGACTGCAGCAGGGATCAGAGGTCATCCAAGTGGACTTCTGGGTCTCCAGCCGTGCTTCCAGCGGCTGCCCCGCCACATGCCTGACTGACAGCAGTCAGGGCTGCTGTTGGCTGTCTGAGCCTCCATCCAGGGTATCTCCGCAGTGGGTTCTTGTGGAGCAGAGGAGCCGTGTCTGCAGCTGCCGTGAGTGGCACCCTCCCGGCCAGGAGCTACGGTGGCTAATCAGAGAGTTGGGTCCTTGTTTCAGCTTGGCCTCAGGCTAGCTGGGTGCCCACTGGCCTCTGTCTTCAGGGGCAGGGTAATGAATGGTCTTGATTCCCTTCTAGCTCTAGAATGTGAGAAATGTAAGAATGTATGGCTAGAGATAGTAACTGAAGATGTATTGAAGGTTTGGGCCTCTTTAAAAAGGGCTGGGGTGGGAGAGGACCATAAAGGTGTAAAAAAACAAACATATAATTTGATAGGTTTAAAAGTTATTTGATCTGTGATTTTGACCTGAAATGTCATTGCTTTCAGAGTAGGGTGGTAAAAACGGAATGTCTTCCAAGGTTGCCTCTTTAGTGCCAGCCTATCCCTGAGTTTGGGGAGGTCCGGGGGACTCACCTTGTCATGCAGGCTATTGCAGGCTCTCCCTAGTTGTGCTTTCAGTTGTCCTTTGTTTTATTCTGAACATCTTGAAGGTTTAAATTAGGAAAAGCTTCTCTTGTGTGATAAGTGTTGCTATTTAAATTCTTCATAGCGCTCTGAAGATCTTGGAAACCCGCTCAGGGCTGTTTGCTTAAGCTGCCCTCTTGGTCGGGCTGTGTAGACTGCTCTGTGTTCCCCTGTCTGCAGTGGGTAGGTGGCACTGAACCCTGATTTCGTAGCTTCCTCCCTAAGCAGCTGTGTGCCCGTGGACAAATCCTTTCCCTTTTCTTACCCTTGGCATTCTTGTATGTCAGGTTGAAACAGTGAACGGTGCCCTCACTTTCTTCTTGTGAGATTCATCTGTGAAAGTTGACTTCTTTCACAGATGAGTGTATGATGCTGGGCGAATGACGCTGGGCAAACAGTGCGGGGTCGTGGCCCCGAGCCCATTTCTCAGGTCCAGTGAGGCACCCCTGCTCTGGTGCCTGCTCTCAGACCACAGTGCTCAGGGAAGGGCTGTCTGCAAGGGTACACAAGTCGCAGTGGGGGTGGCGCAGGGGGTGGGGGATGTTGTGGGGATTACGACTGAAGTTGTGGATCACTGTGAGCCATAACGAAAGCTTCTGTTTGTTGACTTGCAAGGAGGAAGAAGTCTCCACAAAAGGCGGAGAGCTACCTCCAAGGGGCGCTGAAGAATTACCTGGCTGAGGGCTGGGCGCTGCCTATTACGCACACACGGAAGCAGCTGGCCGAATGCCAGAAGCACCTTGGACAGATTGAGAAGTATCCTTTAAGTGCAGCATTTTTGTGAGAAAGAAAATTGTTTTGTGTTTAAACAGCAGCGATGCCCATAATTGAATGTTTAATAAACACCTAGTAATTAGCAGAGAAAAAGTCAACCTGTGCATAGGCACCACGTCGAATATAAGTTAAATGCCTAGTCCATGTATTTGGTCTCTTTTTGAGTTCCTAATAATTACCAAAATAAAAAATAAAAAGCCCGCCCGCTGACCACACTTAGAGAGCTCTGGCGTCCCGAGAAGCCGCTGGCACACAGACCCGGCTGGTGTGAGGCCCTGTGCACAGGCCCCTTGACTCCCCTCCAGCTACCTGCAGACCAGCAGCCTTCTAGCCGGCGACCACCACTTAACCGAAGAGGAGCGGACGTACTTCTGCCAAGAGATTCTGAACTTTGCCAGCCGACAGACGGATAGCCCAGGTGAGACTACCTGTTAAAACTTCATCATGACAATTTTCAAATATTACTGAAAAGTAAAAGGAATATACAATGTATAACGTATACTAACCCTCTAGAGTCAAAACCCAGCAACATTTTGCTGTGCAGCAAACATGCTTCTATACCTTTCTTTTTTACTTTTGTCTTTTTGCTGAACTTCAGAGCAAGCCCAGCCCATGTGTAATGCTTCACCCTGAAACGCTATAGCATGCATCTTGTTGAACAAGGGCAGTCCCCCAACCAGGCCCAAATCGGCAAGGTTCTAACTTTCTGGTACTCGATAGTCCAAATTCCCCTTAGTTTTAGCAGGGTCTAATCAGGGATCTTGAATTCAATTGTTGTATCTCAAATTTAAGCTGGAACAGTTTTCCCCATCTTTTTTCCTAAGACATCAAAGTTCTTTAACATAACAGCTATATGGAAGAGAATTTCCCTACCACGTAACGAGCTGATTTGCAGAGTGCAATCCACCGGCTTTTTGTGCAGTCACAGATGTGTGCCGGCGTCACCCCCATCCACTTTCTGTCTCTGCAGGGACCTGCTCTGGCTATTTCCCCAGAATGGTCACACAGTATTTTTTGTGTTTTACTATGACTGGCTCATTTTGTTCAGCACAGTGTTTTCAAGATTCATGCATGTTGTCACGTGTCAGTATTTCATTCTTTTTTCCAGCTGAGTGACATCCTGTTGTATGACAGGCCACATTGTGTGCATTCCTCCACTGGCAGTGTGACACTGGGTTGTGAACGCTGACTTGTTACAGACGTCAAGCCAGTTGTTTCACGGGCCATCCCACCTTCTGGAGTTGGTTCAGTGTTGCTCCCTGGAGCGTGCAGTGGGAAGGCTGCTCTGAAAGGCTTAGGTTCCAGCTAAACATTCTGGCGAGTGTGCTTTGTAGATAACGCTGTATGGTAAGAGTACTGAAACATTTAGCTGCTTGGGTTTAGTTTGTCAAGAGGAGCACTTATTTAAAAGAGTTCTCGGTCAGCTCTGGTGGCCATAACAGAATGCCACAGACTGGACGGATGTGGCAGAAGGTTATTGTCTCACAGCTCTGCAGGCTGGACGTCTGAGACCAGGATGCAGTAGGGTTGGATCTCACTAGGCCTGGCCTCCTGGCTTATCCTTACATGGTAGGGGGGGGCCTTGGGGCTTCAACTTAGGAACTTGGGGGGAGTGCAGTTCAGTCCATAGCAGTTACTAACTCCCTGAAAGCCTGTGTTTCACAGGGTTTGGCCTCAGGGCGATACAGTCCTTGACCACTGGCATGTGCTCACTCACACAGAGCCATTTGGGTGCATGTCTCAGGAGCAGCAGGGCATCAATTTGTCGGTTGGCTTCGATTCTTCAACGTGCCTGACTGGTCACTGTGGCGCCATGTGCCACATCTGCTGTGTGTGACATGTGAGACTATGCAGTTACGCTTTCCCTTCCAGCATTCTTTGATTTCTCTGTGCGAACAAGATATTCTGATTGTCTCCTGTGTTTTTGTGATTTTGTAGCATTAGCGTCAGCATGTCCTTTAGTTGTTTGTGTTTAATAAATACTGCTGCTAGGTCCGGCAGCCCCAGGGATTTTCTAGACAAGCCCGGTGCTCATAGAAAGGAGGTTGGAGGGAGCAGTGGGTTCTTCTCCTTCAGTGACTGTGGAGCCTGGGCCTCACGGTCCCCGGCCCCAGGCTCGGGAGGCAGGGCTCCCTGTGCCACGGACTATGGCACCGGCTGGCAAACAGCTGGGCTTGCTTCCAGATACTCGGGGGTGGTTGAGGCTGGGTAGGCACCTTTATTTGGGGATTTTTGTTACATAGGTGGAATTCTTTGAAACAGCTCCAGGAATTGGATTATTTAAAAACAATGATTTGAAATTGAGAGGTCGACCTGTGGTTATCTTCAGTGTGTCCAAACAGGACTTAGAAACCTTAATTGCTGTAGGTGTTATGGTTTCTAGGAGTTCTCTACGCCTGTGTTCATGTTTTGCTTTTGACAGAGTCACTCTGTGGAGTGTGAAGATGGTATGGGGCTGGGTGGTTTTAAACTTCTCATTTGAACTTCGCTGCTTCTTGCTTCTCATGTTGAGCATATTCCAGCTGGCCCAGTGGTAGCCAAGGTCCTGCTGCCTCTGCACCTTCTAGGAGTGTGACTTGGGAAGGAAAACACGGTGATTATATTTGCAGGTCACAAAGTCGTACTCCCTATGCATTCTTTCGCACACCTGAGGGATCTCCGTTTTACCCCCTCCAACGCCGTGGTCCACGTGGGCGGCGTTTTGTCCGTGGAGATAACTGTGTGCAGTCAGATGCCCATCCCTGTCCGCCTGGAGCAGATCACCATCAGCGTCCACTTCAGCATTGAGAAAAACAGCTACCGGAAGACTGCCGAGTGGCTTACCAAGCACAAGACGTCCAATGGGATCATTAACTTTCCGGTGGAGACCTTGCCTTTCCCCGCGTCCCAGAACAGTTTCCCGGCGCTGGAGTTGTATGAGATGTTTGAGAGAAGCCCTTCTGACAACTCCCTGAACACCACGGGGATCATATGCAAAAATGTTCACATGCTGCTGAGGAGGCAGGAGAGCAGCGCTGCTCTGGACTCGCCTCCGGGGGTGGCTCTGGAGGACGGGGCCCACGTGCTGAAGTGTGGGGATGTGACTCTGGAACCGGGGGCCAATACGATCACGTTCAGGACACAGGTATGTGTGGAGGAGTTGACTCCAAGGTGGTCAGCCGGGGGCGTTGGCTTGTGAGACTCATCTAAGTTTGGTGAGGGTCAGGTGGAGGCCTCACTCTTATACCCCTGGTTTTGTTTTTCTCCTTAAGAAAAGTTTTCTTTATACTTATACAGTTACAGTTTAAAGGCAGTTGATAAGTTTTGAATGAAGTCCTTAACATAATTATTTGTGTTCTCACTGGATTTAGATTTTTTTGCCTTTCCACAGCATTACAATGCACGCTCATTTGTTGAAGCAACATGTCGAAGAAGGGGGCGCCGTTTTGTGTTAAACTTCATTTTCATTTTGCAGTTGCGTGGAGGTCAGAGCAGCTGCTCTGACGTGCTCTGACACAAGTCTTTCTCCACGCAGCGTGCCCTGTGAGTCCACAACCAGACATGCATCCGGTGGGAAGGACAGCTGTTGTCACGTGTTTTAATCCAATCTGAGAATGGGTCTTAAACCTCATGCTGAATGGCTCCCTTTGGAAAAGAATGCCACTAATGAAATTCATTAAATTGGAAATACATTATTAGAAACAAAGTCCAGTTTAAGCCCCAGTTACTGAGAAAGGCCTCGATCCAGATGCTTAGGGCCCATTGCACAGCCCGCGCTCGTAGACCTGTGAGCACAGAGCAGCGGGGGCAGAGGGTGAGAAAGACGATAGTTTCAGAGATCATGGCGTGGCCTGCCTTTAGGGTGCCCACCGTTATGAGAGCAGGCGGTGACTTTCTGAACGCTCGACTTGACCCTAGGCCAAGGAGCCTGGAACGTACACGCTGCGGCAGCTGTGCGCCTCGGCGGGCCCAGTGTGCTTCGTCCTTCCGCACCTCTACCCGCTGGCGCAGTACGACGTGTACTCCCAGGAGCCGCAGTTGCACGTGGAGCCGCTGGCTGGTGAGTGGGCTGCACACAGCCGGGGTCACAGTTGTTCCGGGTTGCACTTGACCCCTTTGCAAAGGAGTCACACGCAGAAGGGCTTTCTGCACCCTCAGACTTCCAATACGTTGTACACAGACGTTTGGGGTAGATGGTTTGACGTCATGGAAATTTTGTCTGGGAACCCGCGGACTGTGATTGTTCTGTTCATCAAATACTTGCTTTTCTGCAATTGCTAACTTTCATGTTTAGTAAAACATGCATACCTGAACATAAGAAAAATAAGAGAAAAATTAGCTATCAGTTAATGTCTACTGCAGAGAACTTAATAAGTAAATATAACTTTCTACTTAGAGTTTTATTTCAAAGGCTAAATGCTAGATTTAGTTACATTCTGTACCCTAATCAGAAGTATTTTTTTGAAAGCATTAATTAAATTTGATCCCCTAGCATGACATTTTAGAAATTCAAAGCTGCTATTTTGTTAAGTTCTAGAGTGAGAAGAAATTGGCATGAACAAATGATTTAAAACCACACACCACTTAATTAAATAGAAATGAGTGGATGTCTTAGTTGTTTAGGCCAAAACAATATATTGACTTGCTTCTTCCATTTGGAAAAAAAATCAAGGAAAGCATTTTTTCTCTTTAATCTCCCCATACTCTTTATTTTTCTGCTTTTAAACTTCTCCCATTGGCCACAGTAGAGGCCTTCATATGCCAAACACAACAGTCTCTCTAGTGATTCCACAGTCAGAGAACCTCTTGTGGAACTTTGTTGCTGGTAGGGCCTGGGAAATGCCCTGTGAGACCAGCTGCAAGGCTCCTGCCTCCGCCCTGTGGCCCTCCCTCCCTCCCTCCCTTCCTCCCTTGCTCCATGCCTTCCTACCGCTCTGTCTCATGTTTCTCCTTCTCGTTTCTTATCTCTTGCCTTCTTTCTGCCTTCCCTGGAGTGGGATTCTCAGAAACCTCAGCCTATTTCCATGTAGGAGAAACCAGAAGCTATACCTTTCACTGAGCTCTTTCCAAACCAAAGATCTTGAAGGCCTAACTTGAGACAACCAAAGAAAATTCTGAGTAGCAGTAGCACGAGTGGTTTCATTGGTCTGTTCTTTCCTGCCATTATCCGAGTCTCTCTTACTGACTTACTGGCAGGTGAGGCTTGAGCCCTGCATAGACATGGTTGCCACAACGATCCCTGACTCTCTCTCTAAACCGAGGTGGTGAGAAGACCCTCCGTGCTTACAAATTCTCTTGATTCCAGCAAGGCCCCTCAGCCCTGCAGTACAAGTGATTGAGATGAAGAGTGAGGGTGGAGGGAAAGAAATAGGGAATTTGAGGAGTATCTGCAGTGAACAGATCTTTTCCAGTGGAAGAGACGATGCTGGGTAGCCTCATAGTAGGTTCTCCATTGGTATTTTTGGTTGCAGCTGATGCTAATTCCTGTCTTTTTCCCTTCAGATAGTCTTTTGGCTGGTATTCCGCAGAAGGTCAAGTTCACTGTCACTACTGGCCACTATACAGTGAAAAATGGGGACAGCCTCCAGCTCAGCAATGTGGAAGCCATGCTCATCCTGTGTCATGCCGAGAACAGAGCAGTGATCTATTCCAACACAAGAGGTACGGTGGTGGCCACCTGGCAAGGTGGACTGTCAGCACTGCCGTGCACCGTGAGCGTGTACAGAGCTGTCAGCCCCTTCACCCTCAGTTAATAACTTAGGCCTGCTTCTACCTATGACTGCTTCATGGCAGCAGCCTGCCTGTGGGCGGTCAGGGATCCTGCCCCTGGATGGGGCCTCCCGCCCCTGGATGGGGCCTCCCGTGTGGGGAGAATAAACTGAGACCGTGTATGTGCCTGGTGGCCAGGCAGTGCCTGCTAGGTCTTCTGATGTGTCATGGGCTCGTGCTTGATCGTGATGCCCTATAGGCCTTCAGCCCTCCCCAATTCCCTCATCAAAAAGCAAAAGTAAATCAGCCTTTTTAGGCACCGGTTGGAAGCCCTAAAAACATCCTCTCTCTTGCCTCGTCCGATGTGGCCCAGTGGTTGGCACATTATCCCATAACTGAAGGGTTATGGGTTTGATTCCCGGTCAGGGCACATACATAAGTTGCGGTGCGCTCCCTGGTCGAGGGGGTATGAGGCCCGGTCTGGGTGCAGCCAGTCGGTGCTTCTCTCTCCCTTCATCCCTCTCTCTGAAAGCAATGAAAAAATGTCCTTGGATGAGGATTTAAAACAAAGTCCCATGTCCCCTGCCCCCCAGCCATGAGGTGTGGAGGGAAGGATGCCGCTCTCCACCTGGGAGGGCGCTGGTCTGGCAGTGTGATGGCAGGAGCACGCTGTGCAGGGACATACACAGAACTTGGGCAGGCCACACAGGAAGTGTCCTTTTTCTGTGTCCCAGCTAAGCACAATGACAGTTCTCTGGCCTGTGGCTGGCTGGCTTTCATGCAGTGTTACTCTGTCTTAGGGGGTTAGTTCCTGGTTTCCTGCCTCTTCAGTCCCTCCTTAATGCACGTGCTTTCCTGTGCAGAGGAGCAGCAGGAGTTGGGTTGGGACTTCACTGCCGGACCCGCACCTGCCAGAAGGAAAAGGAGCAAGGAATCAGAAGCAAGGTGTTAGAAGTGACTTTCTCTCTCTTTCCTAGAAAAGGCTTCTGAGGCGTCCCTTCGGGTTCAGTCGTCTGACAAGGTCACAAGCATCAGTCTGCCTGCTGCGCCTGCGTACCACATGATCGAATTTGAACTGGAAGTCCTGTCTTTACCTTCAGCTCCAGCAACTGGAGGGGAGAGCAGCACACTGGGGGTGACAGAGGCCCAGAGGAAGCATAAGGACACACAGAAGGCTGGCCACTGCATGGCTACCACGGACCACAAAGTAAGGCGGGGCTGGAACTGCTCAGCATATGGCGGTGGCCTCCGCGTGTCCTGCTTGTTCTGAAAGACAGTACTTAAGAGATGCGTTCTGTTGCGGTGGCAGATTTCCACCCTGATACCGTGAGCTCGTGCTGGGTTTAGCACTTGTATCTGTGAGTCATACCTTCTTACATAAGGGGCACATCTCAGAGGACGAAGACAAACAGGTCTCACTTTTCCATCCCAACTCGAGAGGGAAGGACCATGTATTATGAGAGATAGAGTGTTTGCTTAGGAGAGGTTGGGTCCGAGGCCCATTTGTCCTGGTGACCGACTAGCCTGGAGGGAGTTCTGTGTCCGGTGTGTTTCCATTTCCGCCCACTGAAATGTCACATCAAACTCAGCGAGGAGCAAGCTCTGCTCCAGTGCTGGTGTTTATTGACAGTTGCTTGGGAGACCTGTGGCTTTGCTCCCAGGTCCGCAGTCCATGAGCTCACAGAGTGTATCTCTAGCATTGTGCCCATCCTACTTGTGTCTGTGTCTTGAAACACAGAGAGCAGTCTGAGGGCTTCTGACCCGCCCAGGTGTAGAAGTTCATTCTTGTGGCCCCCAGGACCGTGTGTATTTGCATGCTTTTGAAAGATGCTGCCCGAGGGTCTGGCTTCTAGTCAGTCTGAATCTTGCTACTGAGAGACTTCCCTTTGGGACATGCACCGTTCTTGGCACACAGTGACCGGGAGCTGTCAGAAACAAAGCAGGCCCTGCACAAGCACGGACATCTGGGAGACAGCCAGGGGCTGAGACAGTCTAGCGGTGAGTCTCACTTCCTGCACAAGGCCACTCCTTCAAAATGGGAGAAGCGGTGGGTTCATGTGCCATAGAAACCAACGGAGAGTCAAGCATGACCAAGAGAAACAAGAGAAAACCTCAGGGAAAAACACCTCTGTGAAAGGAGGGCAAGTAATGTACCTGCTAAAGAGTAAAAAGTGATGTTTAGAAAGACTCTCACTGAGGTGTACAGAACAGATGAAATGAACACAGTTAAGACCTTCAGCAAAGAGGTGGGAAATACAAGAAGATACCAAGTGGCATTAACAGAGCTGTGGAGTACAATAACCGAACCGAAACATCCACCAGAGAGGTTCAGCGGCAGACCGGATGGAGCAGGAGAAGGGATCCAACAGCTTCCACTGGGAGCAGCAAAGTGACCAAAAGAAACTGCAGATAGCATAGGGGCCAACATCAAACAGACGAACATTTGCATTATAGGGCCCCCAGAAGCGGGAGAGAGAGAAAGGGGTGGAGATCTTATTTGAAGAAATAGTGGCCGAAAAGTCCCTTAAGCTGGAAAACAGACATCCAGATCCAGGAAGTCCAAAGAGTTCCATCAAGGCACGTTATAGTTAAAATGTCAGAGGTTAAAGACAAGGGGAGAGTGTTAAAAGCAGCAAGAGAAAATCAACCCATTATGGCCAGGGAACCCTCATCAGACTGTCAAATTTGTTTCATGAGAAACTTTGCAGGCCAGAGGGCGTGTTGCAGTGCATTCAAAGGGCTGAAAGATATTACAGGTCCGGTAGTGAATACTTTGCCTGACAAACTTATCAGTCATTCAGACTTGAAGGAGAGACAAAAGAGTTTTGCAAGCAAAAGCTGAAAGTTTTTCACCACTAAACCTGCCTTGCAAGATATATTCAATTCAATGAAGTTGAGACGAGAAGGGTGAGTGCTAATTACTAACAACACGTGAGGGAAGAAATCTCACCAGACGGGTAGCCATTAGAAAAGAGAGTGGGATAATCTGTTAGGAAGCTGCTCTGAAAGTTAAAGACAAAAGTAGTATAAAATAACAATGATTACAGTAATCAAGGAATACAGGGGATAAAAAACATGTAAAACTTGACATAAAAATATGAAATGTAGTGGAGTAGACAGTAAAAATGTTGAACTTTAGAATGTAGTCAAACTTAATTATCAACTTAAAATAGGCTGTTATATATAAACACAAAGCAGAAACTTATGCAGAAGGTAAAGAGAAAAGAACCTAAGGATACCAGTAAAGAAAGCCATCAAACCACAAAGGAAGAGAGCAGGAGAAAAAGAAAGGAAAAGAGAGGAACAGAAAGAAAAAAGAAAACAAGCAGCTGGAAAACTACAAAATAGCAGTAAGAACATACCTATCAGAAACTGCTTTAAATGCAAATTACCTAAATTCTCTAAGCAGAAGACAGAGTGGCTGCATGGATAAAACCAAGACCATCTGTATGCTGCCTACAACGGACTCACTTTGTTTAAAAAAAATTAAAAAACATTATTGATTATGCTGTTATAGTTGTCCCAGTTTTTCCCCCTTTGTCCCTCTTCACCCAGCACCCCCACTCCCTCAGGTAATCCCCACACCACTGTTCATGTCTGCACGTCATGCATGTAAAGTCTTTGGCCACTCTGTTTCCTTACTGTACTATACATCCCCACAGCTATTAACAGACCCACTTTAGGTGTAAGGACACACACACACTGACAGTGAAGGAGGGAAGGATAGTTCCATGCAAAGGAGAAAGCTTGAGTAGCTCTGTGTATTTCAGACAAATAGGCTCTAAAACAAAGACTCTAATAAGAATCAAAGATAGGCATTACATAATGATAAAAGAGATAAATACAACAAGAAGATACAACATTTGTAAACATTTATGCACCCAACATAGGAATAATGAAATATATAAAGCAAACATTAACAGGCCTAAAGGGAGAAATAGACACCCATACAAGTATAGGGGGAACTTTAATATGCCACTTACATCAGTAGACAGACCATCCAGATAGAAAATCAGTAAGGAAACACTGCTCTTCAACATGGTAGAGCAGATCAGCCTCACACGCGTGTCCAGAATATTCCACCCAAAAGCAAAGGAATATGTGTTCTTGTCAGGTGCACACAGTATATTTCCAAGATAGATCACGTTGGGCCACAAGTCTTAATAAATGTAAGAGTATTAAAATCATATCAGGCATCTTTTTTTTAGCTACAGTGGTATGAAACTGGAAATTAAGTGCATGAAGAAAACTGGAAAATTTACAAATATGCACAGATTAAACGATATGCTAACGAACAACCAATGGGTTAAAAAAAAGAAGTTGAAAGAGAAACCAAAAAATACCATGAGACAAATGAAAATGGAAATGCAACATACCAAAACATACGGGCTACAGCATAAGCAGTTCCAGGAGGGGAGTTCAGAGTGGTAACTGTTTACCTTAAGAAACAAGGAAAGTCTCAAATAAACAACCTGCTTCTACACCTCACAGAACCAGAAAAAAAAGAACAAACAAAGCCCAAAGTTAGTAGGAGTGACAAAGATTAGAGCAGAAATAAATGAGAGAGACTAAAAAGACGATAGCAAAAAGGAATGAAATTAAGAGTGAGTTGGTTCTTTTGAAAAGATAAAATTGATAAACTTCTGGCTAGATTCACCAAGGAAAAAAAGAAAAGACTTAATAAAACCAGAAATGAAAGAGGAAATGTTACAACTGATACCACAGAAATACAAAGGATCATAAGAGACTACGGCAAATAATTACATGACAACAAGTTTGACAACCAAGAAGGAAATAGATAAATTCCTTCAAATATACACCTTCCAAGACTGAATCATATGCAATAGAAAATCTGAATAGACTGATTACTGGTACAGAGATTGAACCCATTATCAATAATCTCCCAACAAAAGTTCAGGACTGGATGGCGTCACTGGTGAATTCTACCACATAATCAAAGAAGAATTAATGCCAATCCTTCCCAAACTATTTCAAAAAAGTAGAAGAGGAGGAAATACTTCCAAACTCATTTTAGGAGGCCAGCATTACCCTCATAGATACCAAAACCAGGAAAAGGATGCCATAGGAAAAAAAAAATTACAGGCTAATGTTCCTGCTGAACATAGGTACAAAACTCCTCAACAGACTGTTAACAAACCAGATTCAACAATCATACACCACGATCAAGAGGGATTTATTCCAGGCATGCAAAGTTCGTTCAGATCTGCAAATCAGTCACTGTGACTCAGAACGTTATCAAAACAAATGACCAAATTATATCTCAGTAGAGGCAGAAAAAGCATTTGACAAAATTTAGCGTCCATTTATGAGAAAAACTCTCAACATCATGGGTATAGAAGGAGAGTGCCTCAGCGTACTAAAGGCCATGTATGCCAGCCCCACAGCTAACATCATCCTCAGCACTGAAAAGCTGAGGCTTCTTCTCAAAGATCAGGAGGAAGACAAGGATGCCCACGTCACCACTCTTTTTGAACATAGTATTGGATATCTTAGCCAGAGCAGTTAATCAAGAAAAACTAAATGCATATAAATTCGAAAGGTAGAAAGGAGACTGTAACTATTTACAGATGACATGATCTTATGTGTAGAAAGCCCTAGAGACTCCATCGGAGAACTTTTGGAACTAATAAATGAATTCAGTAAAGTTGCAGGATACAAGTTCGATACACAAAACTGTTGCATTTCTATGTAATAATAATGAACTGTGAGAAAGAAAATAATAAAACAATACCATTTACAATTGTAATTAAAAGAATAAGGAGGTGAAAGACCTTTGTATGGAAGACTAGAAGAAATAATAATAGAAAATGTAGAAGACACAAATAAATGGAAGATAGTCCATGCTCATGGAATAGAAGATTCAATGTGAAAATGCCCATAAGCATTTCAAAGCAATATACAGATTCAGTGAAATCCCTATCAAATTCCAATAGCATTTTTTTACAGAAATAGAGCAATCCTAAAATTTGTGTGGAACCACAAAAGACCCTGAATAACCAAAGCAAATCTGAGAAAGAACTAAGCTGGAGGCATTGTGCTGCCTGATTTCCAACTACATTACAAACCGATAGTCATTAGAACAGCATGGTATTGGCATAAACACAGACACTTGGGTTATTAGGAAAGAATAGGAAGCCCAAAAGCAAATCCATACTTACATGGTCAATTAATTTATAACAAAGCATCCAAGAATATACAACAGGAAAGGATATGTCTTGAATGAATGGTGTTGGGAAAACCTGAACAGTCACACGCAAAGAAATGAAACTGGACCACAACCTTATAGCTTACACAAAAAATAACTTAAAGTGGATTAAAGATTTGAATGTAAGACCTGAAACCATAAGACGCCTAGGAGAAAACATAGGCAGTGAGTTCCTTGACATAGGCCTTGGTGATGATGTTTTGAATCTGACACCATAAGCAGAAGCAACAAAACTACAAATAAGTGGGACTGCATCAAACTAAAAAGCTTCTGCGCAGCAAAGGAAACCATCAGCACAATGAACAGGCAGCCCTTTGAGTGAGGAAGGTATTTACAAACGGTGAATCTGATAAGAGGCTGAAATCCAAAATATGTAACGAACTCATAGAACTTAATGGCAAAAAAATAAAACAAAAACCCCAAACAATTCAATTAAAGAAGAGGCAGAAGATCCGAATAGATATTTTTTTCAAAAAAGACATACAGATGGCTAATTGACACATGAAAAGATGCTCAACATCACTAATCACCAGGGAAATGCAATCGGAACACAGTGAGGTACCATCTAACACCTGTCAGAATGGCTGTCATCAAAAAATCAGAAATAACAAGTGTTGATGAGGATGTGCAGAGCAGGGAGCACTCGTGCACCGTGGGTGGGATTGCAAATTGGCGCAGCTGCTGTGAGAAACAGTGTGGAGTTCTCACGGAGTTAAAACTAGAGCTGTGTGATCTAACAATCCCACTTCTGGACGTTTATCTAAAGGAAACAGCAACACTGACTTAAAGAGACGTATGCACCCCCATGTCCACTGCAGCATTATTTACAATAGCAAGACATGGAAGTAACCTGAGTGTCCACCTGCCGTGGGTGGATAGAGAAGTGACGTGCAGGCACACGCGTGCATGCACAGTGGAATGTCGTTCAGCCCCAAAAAAGGGGTGAAATCCTGCTATTTGCAACAACATGGATGGACCTCGAGGGTCTTAGGCTAAGTAAAATGAGTCAGAGAGAAAGGCAAATACTGTATCATCTCTTAAATATGGAATCAAAAACAAAACAAAATTGACCTCATAAGATACAGAGAAGATTGGTGGTTGCTGGTGGGATAAATGGGTGAACTGTTTTTGCTTTTTGTTTTAGTTTAAATGACTAATTTTTTTTTAGTGTATGTCCCAAAGGTTAAGAAACACAGTAATTTCAGAGATTATGGTATAGAATATCGGACCAGTCAGTGCCTTTGGAAAAATGTTTTTATTTTTCAGTCCTTGAAATTTTTCCCCTCACTTGATTTAGAGTTCAGGAGACAAAGATGATTTTTAATTCAGTAAGCTCCTAGAGTCATGCTGAATTATAGAGTTTTCCGTTCTCAGTATTTTGTTTGTATGAATCAAAGCTTGAGGCCTGGATTCTTCCCTTAGAAGAATTAATAACTTGGTCCGCACTGTGCCCCCAAGTTGATGGGTTTTCAGTTAGTCATTCAGCACGTGTGGGTTAAATATTTGCATCATTCACTTACTTTCGTTTAGGTAATGACTGACCAGGGTCATCTGGACATAGTGATTAAAAGCACTTTGTCAAAGCCTCCTGTGCTGTAGAAATTACGTTTGGCACGGTGGCCACGTGTGCGAGGACAGTGAGGTGGGGTTTGTGCTGCCCGCCGTGGCCTCTGCTCCGCAGCCATCAAGACCAGTCTGGTGACTTCTGGACATTCTGCCAGTTCCATGCCCATTTTTCTCGACTGCGTGTACAGCTTTGTGTCTCTCCTGTGTCTCTGCATGTGTTTGATGGGGTTTTCTTCCAAACACGAATCGGAACGCCATCAGGTGTGCGGCACATTGGCCGCCACCGCAGACGTGGGTGGGCAGTGGTGGTGGCCGAGCTGCTGGTGAGCAGTCTGAATGGGCGTCCCTCTATGTCTCCTCAGGTGTCCATCGAGTGCCCGTGGTCCATCTACTCCACCGTCATCGCGCTGACGTTCTGCATGCCCTTCAGGACCACACATGCTCTGCTGTCATCGGGGACACGGTAAGGGAGGCCTTGCTCCTGTCCCAGGCTCTTTGACACAGAACCCCTTGCTGTTCAGAGCTTGACCTTGGTGACTTTGAGCATGTTGTCTTACATGACCGTGATGCCATTGTCCCCTATAGCACCCAGTCTATGCTCAGATCTCCCCGCCTGTCTCAGCAGGGACTCTGCAGTGTTGGTTTGTGGAACGCGGGCCCCAAGCAAGCCCCGTGTGATTGTCCCATGTGATTACCGGATGCCTTTTCCTCCCTGGGTCAGTCGTCTTCCAGGAGTATGCCATTCTGCGTGTGCCAGGCCCGAACCCTCGGGTTCGTTAAACTAGCCCCGCCGTGAACCGCGGGTCAGCTCTGGAGCAGGCCTTTCCAACTGCAGCACTGCTGACACTGTGCGTCAGATGACCCTCTGCTGTGGGTGCTGCCCTCGCACTGTAGGGTGTTAGCAGCTCACCCGCTTCACGCCTGTGGCACTTCCCATCCTGCCCAACTGTAGTACGACAAGCAGAAATGTCCCCTGACATTGCCTGATGTCCCCTGGCATGGGTAGAGGGGAAATTGCTGCCGGTGGAGAGCCACTGCCCTAGAGGCTTGATGAGATTTGGAGCCAGCCTTTGGAGAGGCTGGGGTCTTGGAGGTGCGGCCCTATGCTTCATGTGTCAGTGTGTTCAGAGACACGAGATCTCATCGCCCGGAGGTGGCGATGCTCACGTCGACCACCGGGCTTGGGTGAGCCTGGCCTCTCACTGTGACGTCCCCTTCTGCTTCATCCACTGGTTATTTGGGTGATTTGGAAACAAAAATGTCAGAACCCTGTTTAGAGTGGAACATTATTCTAGCAGCATTTTCCCTTTAAACTGCAGTGAGGGAACTGTAGGTATTAATGGTTAAAAACACCCATAAGTAATAAACAGAGCCTGAGTTGCTCTAAGATCGATCGGCTTTCCACAGCTGCTCACATGTGACAGACACAAAGCGAGCCCTGTGCTTGGTTCCCCAGTGAGGAAGAGGTCCCGTGGCCCCTGCTCGTGCCTGCGTCACTCGTCGAGGTTGGTGGTTCCACGTTCAGAGGACTCAGTCACAGTCGTGTGTCAGAACGCTGTGTCGGCATCAGAGTGCGCTCTGGTCTGTTTTCCTCAGAACTGGCTCCTCAGAAAGATTGGTGTCCGCAGACTCTTCTACGTGTGAAATAAAAAGTAGGAATATGTGTGACAGCTGGTTCTTAGTTATTTTACCATGTGACTTTTCTGATGCCCCATAGGTTCTTGACAAAGCCAACATGTATTTCATAAAGTTCTTAGGTGTCAAAGTCATGTTTTTTGTTTTTCTGCTTTAGGAAATACATTCAAGTTTGTATCCAGAATTTGTCGGAACTTGACTTCCACCTGTCAGATAGCGCCCTGGTAGACCTCGGGGGGAGCGCTGACCTGCAGCTGCTGCCGCTGAACCTGGAGTCCCAGCAGGTAAGCGTCCTCTGGAATTGGGCGTGAACTCGGCAGGACACAGGACAGCGAGTGTGTAATGGCCGAGCCGCCTGGAACGTTGATTGTGTGCTTTGGAGCCTCCTTTCCGGAGGGAGAATGGCATGCTGGCTGGCGCATGTGAGACAGCTTGGAAGCACAGCTTTGGGCCGCGGTGGCAGCGCCTCCCACGCTGTGGGCTGAGCAGTGCAGGGAGAGTTTAGGAAATGGAGTGATGTTGTGTCATCAGGAGGATGAATTCTGACACTCGTCCCACCCTGCACACAGATTTGTGTAACCACAAGCTTATTCTGAGTCTCCTGTGGACAGGGAACGGTGGCTGTGCTGTCCCGCCTGCCCTCAGACGCCTGCCCTCAGACGCCTGCCCGTGCCCCAGGGAGGAGTTGGAGGTGTCAGTGTCAGGGGCTCATGTTCATGTTCACATCGCCTGGCGGCATCCTGACCTTGCCTTTCCTGTTTGCATGTCACATGTGTTTTTAGACTGTAAATGCTGAGTGTTCAGAAGCAAGAGTTTTCTTAAGGGATGTCTGATCTTCAGCACTTTCAAAAGTTTTCCCCAAAACACATTTGGCACATTTCAAATCCCACCCCCGACTGGCTGTGCTGCAGGGGTGAACGCTGCACACACGCGCGCGTGCTCCAGTTCCTCGTGTCACTCAGTGTTAAAGACGAAGCGATTGGCATGGATGTAGGTGTCCTTTCTAGTTGGTTGGTGCATTTCCCATTTTGGAAATGTATGGGGTACTCTCTACTTGTAAGTGTCCTTGAAGCACATGGAATCTTTAAAAAGTAAAGCCTTTTTTTACCAACCTTGTGCAGACTGCTCCAGGGGCCAGGGCAGGCAGGAGGGGCAGGGACCCCGGTGGGCGCAGGGCAGCGCACGCTGGGCCGTCAGGTCTGGGGCCCTGTGGGGTTGCTGCTGCTACATCTCACCTACGTCCCTTCGGAGGAAGTGCACCTTTGATGGAGTGGGGTTGTCCCTGTGCACTGACCCCCGCTCTCTTGCAGCACATCTGCAGCCAGCAGTCGGTGTTCTTTGTCTGGGAGCTGACGTGGACACGAGAGCCACCCCCTTCGCTGCACGCTCGATTCTCCGTGGGATTCCGCCCCGCCTCTCAAGAACGGCTGACTGTCTCCTTAAAACCCTATACTTACGAATTCCAAGTGGAAAACTTCTTTGTATGTATTATATTATTTTGGGGGTGGGGAGTGCAGGGTGGGAAAGTGAAAGGCGACATCATATTCTTCATAATCTAAAAAATCAGACAGAATCTTTCAAAATAATGAAGCAATGAATCAAGGAAAACAGTTAACAGTTGGAGTAGTTAAATCACTGACTGACAGTATTTGAACCCAGGTCCTTTTCAGGAGACATGTTCATGCCCATGTGCTATTTTTGGCACCTCTAAGATGAGTGTTTATAACCATAAAGACCAAAGACTTTTTGCCCTCGACGGGTGCTTTAGTTGGTTGGAGCATCGTCCTATACACCAAAGGATTGTGGGTTTGATTCCCAGTCAGGGCACATGCCTGAGTTGTGGGTTCAATCCCTGGTCAGGGCATTTATGGAAGGCAGCTGATTGATGTTTCTTTCTCACATTGATCTCTCTCTGTCTCTCTCTTTTTCTCTCTCTCTCTGTCTCTCCCCAGCTTCCTCTCTTTTTCTGAAATTGGTAAACATATCCTCAGGTGAGGATTAAAAAAACTTTTTTTTAAACAAAAAGACCAAAGACTTCTTATTGCATCTCCCTTCGGTTCCTTAGCTGACACAGTAATGTTCTGGAACTGTTTCTTAGAGTCCTTGCAGCTTGATCATTAACTGTTACGTGGGGGTGGGAGAGACTGAGTTATAAAGACCTATTGAGTTTTCTAAAAGAACAAAATATTGTAGAAGTTCACTTAATATTGGGAAGGTTTCTGTAGAGTCTGTGCATGGAGCCAAAAGAAGCCTTGAGCTAGGTGAGCAGGTAGTTGTTTTCTGTCTCTTCAGTGAGATTGTTGGGTTTTGTTTCAGGTAAAGGAAGTGAAAACACAGTTGACCCTGAGCAACTTGGGGGAGGGAGGGGTACCCACTCCCATGCAGTTGAAAATCCGTATACAACTTTTGATTCCTCCAAAACTTAACTATCAGTAGCCCACCATTGACTGCCTTACTGACAACATACACAGACTATTAACACAAGTTTTGTATGTTATGTGTGTGTTATACAATATATTGTATTTTTCCAATAAAGTAAGCCAGAGAAAAGAAATGTTATTAAGAAAATCATAAAGAGGAGAAAATACATTTACAGCATTTATGGGGGAAAATCCATGTGTAAGTGGATTGCACAGTTGAAACCCGTATTTTTTAAGGGTCAGCTATTCACAATTTTGTGGTGTCTCCTTTTCTCCTCTTTACTGCTGAAACTGTCAAACAGCACTTTGAGAGACCTTTGTGTTTGAGAGTCTTTTCAGTACATCCCTTCAATCAAAAGACTGTTTGTTTCATTCCTTCTGTTTTATTTCACTGTCCGTTTTAGCTTCAGTGTTAAACATGACCATGGGCATAACTATTGTTTTGCAGTGTTGTGCAAACAGGTACCTTTTTGATGCGTTAATAGCAACCGAACATCAAATGTCACATAGTAATCTCTGCAGAAATGTCATCTGCTTTGCTTGCTGCAGATGATTATTGACTAGTTAGCTGTTTTCACTGGTACTTCTATCTTTTTTGCTCCCTCTTCTAATGCAGAGCATAGAAAAATTTTTCTTTAGAGCTGTGCAAGCTGAGTAAAAGGCCAGAGAAAAATGTCTTGTGGGTTGTTCTTTCCAGGAGAACAAAAGAAATGTTCTGAGGACCAGATATGTGGATACCACTTTTTAAAAAGCCTTATTGGGACATGACTTATATACCAGGAGGTTCACCGTTGAAAGGGTACATTTGGTTATGGGGGCGTGCTGGCAGCGGTGCAGCCGTTACCTGTCCCTTTGCACCTGCACGTGCAGGCGTCTCGTGTCCAGTCGGAGCGCCCTCCAATCAGTAGAAGCCTCGCCCCCAGAGGGGCGTGGCTGGGTGTTGGATGGGCAGATCACCACTCGAGGCCCATCAGGGGTTACCGCTTGGCTTCGTTAGCTCCCAGGAAAATGTGGTACCTCGGCAGCAGCCTTTCTAAAATTCTGAAGTCTTTTTTCTTTGAACATTTTACAATACCAACGGAACACTTGAAATCAAATTATACTGTAATTACTATGTGTGCCCGTTACATAAATTAACAGTCAGTAAGTGGAGTGCAGGTCACTGGGTGGTGAGCTGCGGTTCCACAGCAGACCACACGGGGATGGAAACAGAGAAGTTTATTAGGGCGGGGGCGGGGGGGGGGGGCTCTGCACTCCCTTCTGCGGGTCTGTGGGTGGAGTGCTTGGAGGTTCCTGGGCTGGGGCTGGATTGGTCAGTTCCCGCCCAAAGAGCATAATTAGTTTTTGCGTGCTATGAGATGGAAAAGCTTGAAAATCATTAATCCAGGGCAGGAGGGGCCAGGGTCCGTTTAGGGTCTTTGCCAGGCTCTGGGCCAAACAAAATGAAAGGGGAGGCAGCAGTACCACGGCGTAGCTAAGCTACACTCTTGACAGTATCGACAGTATCATGAAAGGAAGGAGGCTTACCTTCCCCCAAGTGGCGGTGGCAGCGATGGCGTGCGGCAGGTGTGCATTAGTCCTGCGCAGGCTTTGGGTCTTCGTCCTGGGCAGCAGGCAGGTGTTGGGTGGGTGTGAGTAGGCACGAATACCAGGTAAACGTGTCATGGAGAAGGAAGCATTGAAGAGGAAGTTCATTATGACTTGATATTGGATGACACTGGAGAACGAACACTAATTTTGTCAGTTGCGCTAATAGCATCATGTTTTGGTGAGAAAAGACCCATGTTTTTAGTTGTACACACTGAAGTGTACACGGTGAGATGACGTGTTGTCTGGAATTTGCCTAAAACACGCTAGGTGAATACGTCAGTGTAGATGGATAGCCGAGGAAGCGAGTGAGCGCCGCGGTGGTGGTCTGGGGTTTGGGGAACTGGCATGCAGAGAGCGCTGCACTGCTGTGCGTGCTCTGAAACGCTCAGTACTCACTGAGGCAGGACCGCCGGGCCACCGCCTTGTGCAGAGGAGGCCACGGCTGCTTTGCTGGCCACCTGCTGGCACCAGGCACAGCAACTGAGCAGACGTCTCCTCCATTCACTTCCAAGTCTGTGGGCAGCACCTTGCCTGTCGCAGGGCCTGCGTTTTCAGATCTGTCTCCAGTGTGATGCATCTCCTCTGTCCTCCTCTCCCCTCTCCTGTCCAGACGCTGTACGACGTGAGAGCTGAGATCCTGCCCCCTGCGGGGGCCGAGCTCTGTAGGACAGGCTCACTGTGCGCCCTGGAGGTGTCCATCACGCGCCTCTCGGACCTCCTGGAGGTAGACAGGGACGAAGCTCTGACAGAATCCGAGGAACATTTTTCCACCAAGCTCATGTATGAAGGTAGGTTTGAGGCCTCTTTTTCCCTGTTGTGCTAATCCAGTGCTCCAAGTGACTGTGTCCACTCTCTCACAAAGTGTAGTGTTCTTTGTCCAAAGCGAGAACGTTTTAGAATTAAAAGGTCTCATTGGATGTTTCATTCTCTAATGTGGTCCTAGGCTCACAGGAAGTTGAACTTGGTTGTTATGGAGTCGTTCTTCTAACAGGTTTTATCAAGCAGTTGTTGGGTTCAGGACTAAGCACAGCTGACACGTGGGGCTGCCCTTCCCTTTCTCCCACGACTCGGTCTTCTGTTCACCCCTGAAGTACAGTCCCAACTCCGCGTAGCCGGTCAGGTGTTCTCTGATCATGGCTCCCGCCCCTTTCCCTCCAGCCCCCTTTCATGCTTCCCCCTCCCTGCTGTGACCGCCACAGGGACCCGGACGCACCCAGGCCCCCTCATCACTGATCGCTCGGACACCCCTTGGCAGCCCTCCTCCCCAGGGCCTGGCTCCTTCAGTAGCAGGACTCAGTTTGGAGGTTCAAGACCCTTTATTCTCTAGAGAACGATCGAGGTGGGGGAAAAGGTAGAGAAGCCAAACATTTATTTACTTACTTAAAGATAAAAGAACTGTTTTCCAAAACAACAACAACAAAAAGTAGCGAGGAGAATGACATTAACTCGAGTTTTCCTGCCTGCTGCATTCAGTCCACAGTGATATAATAGTATTGGTGACGTACATGAAGAAGCTCCAGTCTCTCGCACTTACAGTGGGAAATGGGAGGAATATTTTAACAGCCTTCCTGTAATAGATGGCCTTCTCTGATGCCACACCAAAGCTCAACAGGTGGCAGTTTTACAGTCCAGACCCTGTGCAGAATCCGAGCTCACGTGAATGGGCCTTCCATACCGGGTTTCCTGGAACCCTTCTGTCTGCCCCGCATTTTGAAAGGCTTTACCCATCCATGTGTTGGTCCTGCGGCATCTGAATCATGCAGATCCTCTCAGGGCTGGTGACTCTCATCACGTACTGTCACAGACTCACATTATTCCAAACTCACACCGAATTCATCAGGATGGTCTGATTACAGGGACACAGTCAAGTTCACGATGGCAAGTGCAAATTTTCCAAAATTCTGATTTGTAATGAGCGTTTCAGATTGTGTCATTGGCCCCTTCTTTGAAGTCACAGGCTCATTTTTCAAGAAAACATCTGCAAAAACCCAAGACTGAGTGGCCACAGCTGGCGAACTCGTGGCGAGCTCGGCAGTCCAGCACCCTGCTCTGTGCGACGCCCGTGTCCCACATCGCTGGAGACGGCGAGGCTGGGGAGGCGGGTGATGGTGCACGGGCTTCTCTCTGCTGTTCGCAACTTCTTACGAGCCTGTAATCATTTCCCAAAGTTAAAAAAGATGTGTACTTAAACTGGAGTATGAAAATGGCTTTGGTCTACCCTGAGGACCCCACTGTAGGAACTGCTGCTCCAGTGTGTCCCTCCTCGATGTCCCTTGCCCACCTGTCTGTCCCTTGCACACCTCTGTATGCCCTTCACCACTCATCCTGGGAGGTGCGCCCACCTGCAGGAAACTCACCTCTGCAATGCCTTCTTTGCTGCTCGTGGAACTTGTGGTCACATGCTCCTGGGCTCTTGCCTTATGTCCCCATGATCCAGTTGCTGTGACCCCTTTGCAAGGTCTTCTGCTTCTTGAGGACAAGAACACTATCCGATGTACTTTGAAGTGACCAGTCAGTTAGGTGTTTGAATTCCACTGGACTACACACAGTTGTGTTATAATTAGTGTTACTAATAACACTGTGTATTTAGACTCTTAGTGGCAGTTGGGATTCAGACAGACCCTATGCTCTGATGTCAGCACTTAGAAGATGCCGCCACTTAGAAGATGCCCCTCCTGGTCCCGCTCCCATTCCTCATGTAGCAGCCAGACAGCCATGCTCTGGAAGAACCACACATATAGGTTGTTGCAAAGTGACTTCAGTCAGAATTGAATCCTTGATCGTTCACTGATGAGAAGAGTGATTTCTCCGGGCATCGCCATGTGTCTTGGCTACTCCACTCCACCATTTGTGTCTGACTGGAATGTGTGGTCACAAGATGCGGAGACAGAGACCTGTGTCTCAGTTTGGGGTTTTGTACCAACTGTGAGACTGTTGATGTTTTTTTTTGGTCTGAACGTGCGTGCCCTTTTCTGGGTAATGGAGCATTTCCCTCTTGGTTTCAGTGGTCGACAACAGTAGCAATTGGGCAGTGTGTGGGAAAAGTTCCGGAGTCATCTCCATGCCTGTGGTCCCTCAGGCCACGCACAGAGTCCACATGGAGGTGATGCCCCTGTTTGCGGGTTACCTGCCCCTTCCCGACGTCAGGCTGTTCAAGTACCTCCCGCATCACTCTGCACACTCCTCACAGCTGGATGCTGGTAAGGACTCCGTGGTGCAGGAGCAGGTTTGCTGTTCACAGCATGTTCTCCAAGTCTGGGCTGCAAGCCACAGGAATCTGCTCTGGAGCTCAGTCCTTTGAGGGCCCTCACTCTAGGTTTCCTGTGAGGGGTTGCCTCAGTCCACCTGCCGCTGCACTAAGGGTGGCTTGCTACTCCCCAGGGTGGGTCAGGGTCCGTGGCTTCGAGGCCTGTAACTCACCTCCTGTGTTTTTGCAGATAGCTGGATAGAAAATGACAGCCTGTCGGTGGACAAGCATGTGGACGACCAGCTGGACAGCAGCAGCGTCAAGAGCAGGGGCAGCGTGCACTCGGCCGCCAGCAGCGAGCACAAAGGCTTGCCTATGCCCCGGCTGCAGGCGCTGCCGTCCGGCCAGGTCTTCAACTCCAGCACAGGCATGCAGATCCTGGTCATCCCCAGCAAAGACGACCATGTTCTTGAAGTCAGCGTCACATGACCAGGCCTCGGTGAACATGCCCAGACCTGGTGTGAATGCACTCGAAGGGATCCTGACTCGATTGTTCTCCATGGTAATGTTCTAGCTCTAACCACACCTGGAGACTCTGCCTGGCCATCGAAGCATCAGACGGGCTCCATGTACAGCTGGCCACAGAGTCCAACTTTTAGTTTGTGTTGTCAGTGGTGTAAGGTTACTTACCACTTTCTCACCTCCCTGCCCCTGTGCTGGTGTCCTCCAGTGCTGGCCCTGAGCCCGCTTCCTTACCCTCACTCCCCGCTCATGCGAGCTCTTCAGAGGGGTCTCCCCGCTGGGCAGCCTGCAGTCTGCCGGTTCTTCGCGAGGTCCACGTGTCTTCCAGGGAGACTCTCGGCAGGCCTCTCGGTCTCAGTAGTGATGCACGTGTGCCTTTCTGGTCTCACGGCTGCCTGGTCTCTGGACCACGTGGATTTGTCAGTCTCCTAAGGGGTAACACAGTCCTTTACCTCAGCTCATCTAATTGTGCTTTTCTAGAAAAACCCCCTTTTAGGGCAGGTAGGTGGGACTAAGGGTTGGGGTGGGGAGGGAACAACCCCTTCTGTGCCTTGGGATGTCGAACTGGGCCGACCCAGAGCACCCATTAGCTGGAGCCGTCTGAAAGGTACTTTGAGAAGACCAGAGCAGGGCCTAGGGAACAAAGAGCTCGGTATTGAAACAGTTTAGGGAGAAATGTTTCTGGGACCCTTTTTCCCTCATGATGTTGATTGAATATCATATGCACTTGAAATTAAATATATATTTATTTTAATTATATATGTGAGGGTAAATATGTTGTGTTTCCTCTCACCTTCAAACTTAGAGTCTTTACATGTAATTGTAACTGTATAATCAATATTTTTCTTTTGCACCTTAAATCCTAGAAATTAGGAGTTCCCATTTGAGTGACAGTTGGAGGGGTCCTCTCGGTGTGTTTCTAGTCGGGTCGTAGGAGGGACAGAAGTCCTGGAGTGTTCTCTGCTGGTCCGCTAAATTGCAGTCATACCATACCGACAGATTAATTTGCTTTTGGTTGTAAATGTAACTGTACATATGGTTGATTTATTATTTTTAAAAGTACAAACTAACTGATGTAATGTTTATGTATAAGTTGCACCAAAAATCAAGGACAGAATAAATATGTGTTTGTTTTTATTGGTGTGAAAGTCACAGCTTGTAAATAAGTGATGTATGTATTAAACCTTTTCCAGCTTTCCAAAGCGATGTATTTTTGTATATATGAAAAAGAGAACTCTTAATTCACTGAGAAAGTGCTATTGGGGTTGAACTTGACCCGATTAGTGCAAGAAAGGGTGGGGCCTCGTGTGAATAACCTCAGATGTGTGAGCCTTCCAGAAGGAGCCTCCTGCAGCTGCTGCCCGCCCGGGCTCTGCAGCGGGCTCGTCCCCTGCCCGGGCAGCCTGGCGGGGTGGGGGTGCAGGGGTCTTGTCGGTGCACACACAGCAGAGCAGTCGCCATCGCTTTTCTGTAGGTTGTCTGTCAACCCGAATAAAGGCAGTATGATTTCCCCCTCATGTCTTTTTCATTTATAGAAATCGGAGAAGTGTGTGAAGAAGGTAAGTATTTGTGTGTTTCACTAAACTTTCCAGAAATTGGTCTTCCTTATGAGCAGCTTAAAACTAATAAACTTGGTCAACTAGTTGGGCAAATTAAAACTTCAGCCTCTAATGATGGTTTTTGGGTTTCTAAAATAAGCTTGTTTCATTGTAAACATTGACGATTGCCCTTCATATCTACCAAGCCCTGTGAATGAATAGATCCTTGAGATTTGATTCCATCAGAAAAGCTCTAATCCTTGTGGTCGGCCTCAGAGCTAAAGGGACTGAGCCTCCGTGGGTGATGTAGCTTTTCTTCTTCCTTCGGGAAGGGACAGTGTGGTTTAATGGTATCCTTATTTCTGTTTGATTTTTGTGTCTGGGCTCTAATCCCAGGATGAAATTCTCTTAACGGTATAGATTTAAAGGGGAAAAAATGAATGGGAAATCCAAAAATTTTAGGGTGATTTTTTTTACTGTCCCAAAATGCAATGAAATCAATCACAGGTTTGTTTTTTGCCCTAACTACCCAAAAAATCTTTTGCAATATAAGTTACATGACTGCCTCTTAACATATTTTTTTTGTTTTTTACACAAAAGAAGGATGTCACCTAAAATACCATTTTCTTTTTAACTAAAAGGCTATGATTGGATTTTTGTTGTGTTTAAAATAAAGTAAGTCTTACGGGTTTGGGACAAGCTGGTTATGTTGATAAAGATGAAGCAGCTGTCAGATAATTACGAAGCCAGATATAGAATGTACATCTAAAAAAACCGGAATATGCAGCTACTTTGCAAATGTGTGGAAATGTAAATATTAGCCAAAGGAAAAGAAAGTTATAATTTTGGTGAATTTCATGGGGTCTCCTATGATTGGAAAAATTATAACTCTACTGATTCTAATGTGAAAATTGTTGTACTTAATCTGAAAATGACTTCTACCTACAGTTTCATTGTCAGCACAGGCTGTAGTGGGCTGGATTCCTAAATTATAAGTTGATGAGAATAGATATCCTGTAAAGAGCCAGTAGAGAAAATATACACAGGCTTCTATTCCATTTTTCTTTAGTGTTTAAAATAAGGTTGTTACAAAATTAAACACTCCAGGTGTGTATATAAAATGAAAAGTTAAGTACTTTTTATAAAAGAACAAACTAGGCTGATATAAATGTTTCACTGTCAACTGTGATCTTTAAATCCTACATGATTTTAAAATTTGATTTTTCATGAAAATGCCCCTTACTCTAAATTTATTCATCTTATACACCAGGCTATAAGACCAGAAAGCATTGTTAGTAGAATTTGTTGGGATTCTGTGACTGGAAAAGGTAACAAGTTGGTGACTTTGACACTGCAGGTATTAATTCCATTTTCATGGTTTACTATGAAAGTCATTTTTCACATTACTCTGTAATATATTGTTAGACTAAAACCATTGTATTAAGACTGTTTAAAATGTAAGCATTATAATTCTGAAAATACACATTTTAAGAAGAAACTTTGCTGATTGGAACTTTGTTCTTTTACTGAGTTAATTTTTTTAAAAAATTTATTTCATTTTAGAAAGAGGGGAAGGGGAGACAAAGGAGAGAAACATCAATGTGTGGCTGCTTCTCACCGGGCCCCCTACTGGGGAGCTGGCCCACAACTTGGGCGTGTGCCCTGACTGGGAATCAAACCTGGGAACCTCTGGTTCCCAGGCTGGCGCCTAACGTGAGACGCCCCAACCAGGGCAAGAATTTTCTTGTTTTCCCTCCCTGATCCTTGTTTCTGATTCCAAGTTTAGATTATTCATTTTGGGGGAGCACTAGGGGCTTCATAATTTATTGCCCTCTCACAAGAACTAAGACATTTGCTTCAGAGGTTTATGGGGGGGGGGGGGGTTGTAGACATTTGCCAACCAAACGTTTGACGAGGTAACTAATTGCCTCCGAGTTGTTTGGTAGCATAGATAATACAATTTCTTCGGAAGAGTGTAGTTTCCAACTTATTCTGAGTCTCGTTCTGCTTTTGACTATCCTTTCATAATCCGAAGATATTAAATAAGCCCGGGTGTCCGATCACCTCATCCCCCTTAGCTCGTGAACAGTTCTAGCTGAAGTCTAGTCCTGCTCGGGTGCGCGGCACCGGCTGGCGGGCACCGGTTGGGGCGCGCGGGCTCCAGCTGGGGCGCCCGGGTTCCGGCTGGGGCGCGAGGGCTCAGGCTCCACCTCCGGCTGGGGAGTGGGCGGGGCCTGAAAGTCCTTATGGCTGGGGCGGAGCCGGAGGCCCAGGCTCCGCCTTCAGGTGGGGCGTGGCGAGCTCGGGGGTGGGGGCTGGGTCTCCGGTTCCGGCGGCGCCTCACCTCCGGGCCAGTGGGAGCGCTGTGGCGAACGGCGCAGTCGACCCGGAAGTTCTTGCTGCTGAAAGGCGAGCGGGCACGGAGGGTGTGTAGCTGCACACGTGCAGCTGCCGCAATGAAATTCGCCTACAGGGTGAGTGTGGATGCGAGTTGGCACGCGGTGTCTCTCGGCTGCTGCGGGCCGGGGGTCCGTGGGGCGGGGAGGCAGGGGTGTAGGTACTAAAGACCTGGTTTTGGGGGGCTAACTAACCATGCCTGGGTGGGCTCGGCGTCCGGCAGCACTGTCCTCACCATGTAAAGTGAGGTAGTCTGGGCCGTGTGGGGTGCAAGCGACAGCAGCGTCCTGTATCCGGAGGGAGGGAAGGCGGGCCGGAGAGTAGGCTGCGGCTTGTGGCAGGTAGGCCAGCCCGGAGCTGACATCCCGGTTACCAGAGGCCGCGGTGACGGAGAAAGGTGCTGGCGCAAATGGGCGGAGAGGTGCGGCTGAGCCCACCTGATGTCACTCTGTCGTCGTCTTGCTCCACGGCTCAGGATCATTGATTGCGGCTGACCTGCTGGTCCCATTTCTCCAAGGCTGTTCTTTTGCAAGGGCGGATCATTCCTCCTGGTCGGTCTCTGCTCGGTGCAGGCCCCCAGCGGCTGCATCCCCCACTCGCGCTACTCCAAACAGTCTCGCACCCCCACCTCACAACCCCCTCATCCCCCGCCCCCTGAGAGAGTGCTCCTGTAATCCAACACAGTGGGTTCGTGGCTTGGAGTATCTGCGCCAAAGGGACACAAGTCTTGTTGGAAGAAAAAGTTTTGTTTTTACTCGTGACAAGTAGAGGAGACGGGAGTGATTTCCATATACACACTGACTGGTTAATTACTTGTTGATACGTTCTTTGCAGTTGGCTAAACTTACCCATTTGTGGTTCCAGTAAAGCTCATTTGCAAAATACTTTGCAACATTTTAGCATTTAGTAAGAACCGCCCAGACATTGAGACCCTTGTCATACTTAACATTCCCTTGTGACCCAGACCTGGAGGGGCTTCATCACTGTCCTTGTTCCTCCCATATCCAGCTCCGGGCAGAGCCTGCACCTCATCCGCTCTTTCCATTCCTGGGGTCACCTCTGTGGTTGGGACACCTTTACCTTCCATGTAGAATAGCATAGAAGGCTAAATGGCTTCTCTGCTTCCCTTCTTGCCTCCATGGTCATCGGAGTGGCCTTCAAAAAGTGGGAATTGGATTGTGGCGTGCCTCTGTTTAAAACCTCCTCAGATGGCCAATTTCTGCTCCCACCCCAACCCCCACCTCCCTGAGGTTCTCAGGGTTTCTGCTGGCCTGCAGCTCCCAATGCTGACCTGGCTGGCTCCTCTTTCAGGGTCCAGCCCAGGTGGCCCCCTCAAGGGTTCCTCCTTGACCACCCTCTGAAATGCCTCTGCCCCTCCCACTGCCGGGGTTGGCTGGTAATCTACTCTGTTCAGGAAGCCTTGAACCCAAGATGCACCTGGGGCGCTGTTTCATTGCTGCTGTTCTCTCCTCCACCTGGCAAACATCTTCCTGCCTGCAGAGGCTTCCCCGATGCTCACAGTGCCCATCAGCCACCTTGGAGGGAGCTCGGGGCTCCTGGGGATTGACTGGGCTCACTTCTCCTTCCTCTCTCTCGCTCAGGGCTGGGCCTTACAAGCAACGGTAAGGGGGATGACTGGAGGGACCCCAGGAATGACCAAGGACCCTGTATAAGCTCTGCGCCATGGCCTTGACCAGATGCATCACTTACCCCTTTTCCAGGGTTGAGACTCTGCATTTTCTTTGTATTGAGAGAGCTTTGTTTTTTTTCCAGTTTTCAAATTTGCTGGGGACAGTCTATCGGCGTGGAAACTTAAATTTTACATGTGATGGAAATTCAGTGATTAGTCCTGTGGGGAATAGAGTCACTGTATTTGACCTTAAAAAGTAAGTACACTAAATTGATATTGCAATTTTTTTATAAGCAAACTATAAAAATCGATGGTGTTTTTCTCCAGTCCTCTTCATAGTACCCCTGTTAGTTATGAAGGCAGCCTGAGATGGGGGCCACAGGGTTGCAGAGAATCTCTGGGCCAGTTGTGGAAGTGGCTGTAGGAATCCAGTTTCCTCAGTCTAGTTCTTCAGCTAAACCCTGGGTTTCTAGATTGTTGTTACCTTCGAGGTACGATCACGTGCCACTCAGGCAAATCGTGTGGGAAGGCAGCATGGGAGCCACCCCGGACCCCTGCCCAGGCAGCGCAGCGCTCACTGCGCATCAGTCTGCTTGCTCGGGCGTGTGCTCTTTGTCCCGAACCAGAGCGTGTGGCTGCTGTGTTCCTTTCTTAAGGGAAGGACTCCTGCATGGGCTGTCACCTATTCCCAGACTTGTGTGGCCCAAGCAAGATCCTCCTGGCATGGAAGCTACCCGGGTTCTTGCTCTGCAGGCCTCAGTTTCCCAGTCTGTAAAATGGGGCAACAGTGTGAGCATTCTCTGAGGGCCCTTTGCTGTAGTGCCCAAGAGCAGCGCCTGTGGGGGGTGCACCCAGGGCCGGCTCCTGGCATGGTCATTACTGTCACTGTTTTGGGTAAGTGACATGTGACAGGGGCTCTCTAGGGTAATTATCACATGTTCACTG